CGACGACACTGATGAAGAAATGTCAAGTAGATTCGATTCTGCTCCGTCGGAGGCCTCCCATACTCCTAAGAACAGCACTGTTTTTCATTCATTCGATCGGCACACTGTCCGAAGAAACGGATTTCCTCCCTATTGGCGCGTATTGACAGATCACCAAAAAATCACTTTGAATTTTAACCGATTGCATAAAGCACACACACACACTGAAATTTCACTGGTGAAATCCACGATTAATAATCGAAAATCGCAATTTAATTTTTCATCCCTCGTCCCTCTCTCCAATTAATTTCTCCACGTTAAGTGTGCAGCCGTTCGTTCCATCGAGATTTCATCAATTTTCCTCTTCGAAAAACTTTCTTTCTTTCTTTCCTTCCCTCTTCTTTCTTTTGAATCCTCCCGGCACTGGAGAAACACACATTCGAAGATCACACTTGGCACGTTCGCGATTTAATTAAATAACCCTCGCTCTGAGCCACCGCGGTTATCATAGAGAAAAAAACCTATCTAAACGATCCTCTATAGAACACTAAACCGTTCATCATCTACTCGCTATATAACTAGAGACACGATTTTTTGGACGACCGTCCTTTTTCCGCTAGATTTTCCATTTTTTTTCCTTTTCTTATATTTCCAATTACGATCTAAACCGCACTACGGACTCTACGCGTGTACAACGTGTAAGAGAATAAATAATAAAACGCTTTTACCTAAAGGATAATTTTTCCACGCGATACAACGTTTTCTCCATAATATTATATTCACTTCGCATACACGCTCACCTCACATTCACGCGTAAAATTCCCACTTTTCTTTATATATATATTTGTATATATATTTATATATTTATATGTATATATACTTTATATACTTTATATATATATATCACTTTACACGCTTTCAAAGTACTCCATCCATACACTACTATACAATTACAAGAATCCAATTACAATCTCGCTATATATAACATTCATTCGCGTTTTTTTAAAGTACGTATAATGTTTGTTTCTCGCACTCGCCCTCGCATTCTCTCCATTCCTTTCTCTCCATTCGCGCCCTTCCATACATTCTCTCTCTCTCTCTCTCTCTCTCT